GGGCAGGACGAAGGTTCCTTGCTCCATGCTGTCGTGCTCAATCTCCAGGTGCATGGTCGTTATGGCTTCCCGCTGCTGATGACCGTCGTTGCTGATCGTCAGCTGCTCGAAGACAGCCAGCAGAGATTCGTGGAGGTTCAGTGTCTGGAGGATCTGGTCGTGCACGAAGCCCCTGAGGTCCTTGGCGGCCGTCGTCAGCCGGTCCGCAGGCTCCTTCTGCTGGAAGTACGCCCAGTTGGTCTCCAGCAGCTCGTTCGAGAGATCCTCCACCTTCTCCTCCAGGCCCTCCAATTTCACCACCGTCAGGTTGGCGCTCTCGATGCCCTCCATCACCACCTCCTTCAGCTTCCCGAATTTCCCAGCGAAGGCCGGAGAAGTGTGTTGCTCAAGCCTCGCTGTGCCTTGCGACAGGTTCAGCTGAAAAGATCAGGCAGTCAATGGAAATCTAAATTTTGAAATTTTGGGCACGTTATTCAAAATGGTTCACGTGCAAAAGGCAAACATCACACATACGCAGATTTGCACACACGCACACATACACACACACATACATATGGGTGTGGGTGTGTACATATATAAATAACGTTTCGACACCCCTCCTTGCGATAGTGTTCCGTGTCGTTGTGCATATTTTATTTACACACACACACACACACACACACACACACACACACACACACACACACACACACACATATATATATATATATATATATATATATATATATATATAATATATATATATATGCTTTTATATATATGTACAACTACACAGAAAACTATCGTAAGGAGAGATGTCTAAACATTCTATCGAGTTGAACCTTATTTTAGGGAAGGGTTGCTAGTTTGGGTTTTGAATTTGACTCGTTCTATGTTTCGAATAGTCGTTCCTGAATTTATATGGATTCACTATGAGATGATTTTATTTCTTTAAGGGATGGAATATGCCTTGCAATATTCAGAAAAGGATATACCCAAAAGTAGTTGGGAAATATTGCAAAAAGTATCGTTATTTTTGTTAAAATGTTTAGCATGATTTTTAAGCGATACTTTTTTGCGTAGCTGTATATATATATATATATATATATATATATATATATATATATATATATATATATATATATATATATATATGTGTGTGTGTGTGTGTGTGTGTGTGTGTGTGTGTGTGTGTGTGTGTGTGTGTGTGTGTGTGTGTGTGTGTTGTGTGTGTGTGTGTGGTGTGTGTGTGGTGTGTGTGTGTGTGTGTGTGTGTTGTGTGTGTGTATGTGGCTGTGTGTGTGTGTGTGTGTGTTTGTGATTTCTCACCTTCGGAGGCGTCTCGCCATTTCCAACACCGCCTAGATGTTCAACCAATTCTCTCAGGTCTGACAGTTGGCGACGATTAAACTGGTGTCTGTTGATAAGGAATAAAAACATTTAAGGTCCTGGAGTTCATGCAATATGATATATAACTGCATACTATTTTAAACTAAGGAGTTCAGAGTTGCACTGGCGAGTGGATACAATCTCACTGGTTTAACATCGTCTAATCACTGTAACTGAAAATGTAAATGAAACTTTTCACGAATTGGCGCACATTATTGGAACCTGTTCTTTTTCTTCCTTTTTTCATTTGTATCAGTGTATCTTGATTTGTTGATATGATTCAACCAATAGGACACATAAATACCTCTAATCATTGAAATTATCTAGTTGTCTGATTCGGACACGAAGCTCAGATACAAATTCGTCTGCAACTTCCATTACGCATTTGAAAAACATTTTTTTTTTTTTTAATCTGAGAATTTGCGAGTCGTGTTTTGTAGCGACCATGTACAATGATACACATGCTCTCGTGTTTTGTAGCGACCATGATACATTAAAGTGTTCGGAGTTTTGGGATGCTACAAAAACGCCTGTAATTGCAACTGCCAATAGTCGACTGCCTGGATTATGGTTGTGTCCAAGGCTCCTTTGCACTCCACTGTTTAAATTCTACCACAACCCCGACATCCCAACATTACCCGGACACAACTTGGCACCACACTGCAAAACTACATAACCCATTAAAGACAAAAAGTTGAGAACACCCTTCTTTACCCTAGATCAATATTCGTCACGAGTTTATCCAGGATTTCGGTGATTTTGAGTTCGAGTGTCGGTTCCTCCATCTGAATCCGTTCGCAAGACTCGATGAAGGCATTCTGGGCGACGAGAACAGCTGAGTATGAAGACTCCACCAAGGAACCCAGTTCTTGCATTTCTGCTCGCAGCATCTGACCTGGGAGGAATGAGTGGGGTTTAACGCAGATTTGAAGGGTATGTCATAATGTAACGGGCAATGCTTACTGTTTACATATATGGCGACTATGACTGCAACAGGTTAAAGCAAAAATTAGATCAATGTCATGACATGACCCAACTCTTTTCCTGACACGTATTTAAGAAACATTAACAATGTCATATTCCTTTCCTTTAAAACTCGAGACCTTCGCACGTACCATGATTAGGCTCAGTGTTCATGCGCCGAAGGAGGACAGAAAACCTTTGGTGAAGGAGCTTCAAGAGGTCCACGCCTTCACTCGTCTGCTTCGTCAGCCCACGTCGCAAGTCATCGCTCTTCTTCAGAACAGTCTGAAGTAATCTCTTCACCTGGAACAGGGGGTTGGCTCTCTAAAACGTGCAAAGGGTTGCCATACAAATGTAAACAAAGGCCTATTTTTTTTAAAGACAACTAAACAAATACGATGTATTCATATTCCACAGATAGTTTGATCTATCATTGGTTATGATGCACAGTGATAACGAAAAAGAATATTATTCAGACTAAGCAAAGAACCCTCGTCGGATTTTTTCAAGGAGTCTATGGGAATCACATATATCCGTGTAGCTCAAAATATCTAGAATCAGTAGTTATGCTCTGATAATAGATTCCAAGAGGTGCATTATTTTTTTATTGATAATGTGCGGTTATGCTTGAAACTATTTATCTGACAAAAGAATTCCACAGCAACTAGATATCTAAATGCTGTATAATTGAAGCCAACCTTTTTCCTAGTCAATCAAGTGAATGGATCAATTAATTGGAAAATACTCTAACCCCATATTCTTTCAATACATAAAACACAAGAAAATGAAATCCAATGTTATAAGAAATATATGGATGAATTAAGAAAGGATAAATATAAAGAGGATAATTAAATACAAGGAGAGAGAAGGAATCCCTCGTCTCCCTGAAAAGGGAAGGGTATCCAAATGAATAAGTAGTGGATGCTTAAGTAATCCCGTTTAAATAAATCGGACCTATATTTTCCAACCCCCCCCCAAAAAAAAAAACGCAACAGAAAGATCATAAACTAAATTCCTTCCTCAAAAATGATCAAAGCAAATAATGCAACCCTATATCCCTCAAATATGAAAGCACCAAGACATTTTGAGAGATAATTAATATAAATATATAAAACATAATAAGATGAATAAGAATTAATAATATACATATATATATATATATATATATATATATATAATATATATATATATATATATATATATATATACATATATACATATACAATACATACACACACACACACACACACACACACACACACACACACACACACACACACACATATATATAATATATATATATATATATATATATATATATATATATATATATATATATATATATATATATATATATATATATATATATATACACACACACACACACACACACACACACACACACACACACACACACACACACACACACACATATTAATATATATATATATATATATATATATATATATATTATATAATATATATTATATATATATTATATATATATATTATATATAATATATATATATATATATATATATATATATATATATATATATATATACATACACACACACACACACACACAACATTCACACACACACACACACACATCACACACACACACACACACACACACACACACACACACACACATATATATATATATATATATATATATATATATATATTATATATATAAATATATATAATATATACACACACACACACACACACACACACACACACACACACACACACCACATAAACATAATATATATATATATATATATATATATATATATATATATATATATATATATATATATATATATATATATATATATATATATATATATATATATAATATATATATATATATATATATATATATATATAATGAGTGAAACAGTAAATAAAAGTATATGAAAAAGCATATGTAGAAACTAGATCCAGTATAAGCCAAAAGTAACTAAGGCAGGTCGACCAGATCCGCCCGAACCGGGACCCGCAACGGCGAGGTCGGAGCCGAACCTCCTCGAGAGCAGCGATGGTGCTCGGGTCCGGGCAGTGGAGGGGCTCGAAGGACGGTCGCCCGTGCCTCTCGCCGGCGCCGTGCGATCCGACCCGCCTGCTGAAGAAGATGTTTGAGAAGGCCACCGTGGAAGCCTATTAGTGCTTGGAATGAAGGCTGTTACAAGGAATCTCGAGTCAATGTATAGATGAGAGTTACGAAAGAGAGGTCAATGGAATAGGCTTGGATAGCATGTGCGTATGATTTATCAGTGTTTGATTGGTACCCCTTCGTAGGTTTGTGCATAATGGTACGTTGCATATCATATCAGTATATCACTATTTACTGCTGTATCATCATCTCCTTTAACCTATCAAGTCGTACCGAAGCAGAATCAATCTTTTCCTTACCGTTCCTCCTGGCCGCTTCCTCCAGCAAGGACACGTTCAGCCCAGCAGCAGCCCTGGCCACGCTTTGGGCCACGCTCTGGTTCACCTGCTGAAGGACAGGCCGCAGTTCACCCAGGGATGGCGTCGGTCTCCTGTGTGTCGGCGAGGTGAGAGAGACAGAGTAAGTGAGGAAGGGAGAGAAAGAGAGGGAGGGAGGGAGGGAGGGGGAGGGAGAAGAGAGAGAGAGAGAGAGAGAGAGAGAGAGAGAGAGAGAGAGAGAGAGAGAGAGAGAGAGAGAGAGAGAGAGAGAGAGAGAGAGAGGAAGAGAGAGAGAGAGAGGGAGGGAGAGAGATCTGGTGATTAGGACCGACTCAGACAAATACAAACATGGTTCATCATTAGTTTGACTGTCCGAGGTTAATGGTGAGCCGGGTGACCACCGGCGAGCAGGGAGGCTGGACTTCATCTTACTAAATATGGCAAAGGCGAGAGCAAAATGAAATGACATCATCTGAATGAAGAAACGGCAGGGGAGGGCACAGAGGCGTTGTGTATAGGTGGCACTTAATTACGTATTTATGAATATACAGAGTCACGTTTTAAAATGTTCTTATCATGGTCACAAAAGCGCGACACACTGGTTGGCAACACTCGAAACTCAGCGCAGACAAATGAAAAAGAAAAAAAAGAACGATTAAAAACACAATCAAATACCAATTCACACACACGCGCGCGTCCTTGCATCCCTTCGACTAAAGACACACGTCCTCACGTCAACTTGGCGACGAGATCCTGGTGGAGGGAGAGCATCTTCTCGTGGATGTCTTGGACGCCGGACTCGAACCTCTTCCCCTCCGCCTGCACCTCCTCCCGCACCTCCATCGCCGCCCTCAGCGTCTGCGTCCCGAGGTCCTCCAGCCCTTCGCGCGACTGCTGCCAAGCCTCCATCAGCTCGCCGACGCCCTGGGAGCGGAAGGAAGGAACAGTTCTCTCTCTCTCTCTCTCTCTCTCTCTCTCTCTCTCTCTCTCTCTCTCTCTCTCTCTCTCTCTCTCTCTCTCTCTCTCTCTCTCTTTCTATCTATCTTTTTATTAGGGCTTTTGGTTAGTTACGCTTTCATGAGGCTGTGGTGTTTCATAAGAACGATTGCTTAATCGTATTTTATATGACCTCATGGTTACTAAAATAAGGTAATATGTATAACTTTTTTCTGTGATAGCATAGAAGAGCACAAAACTTTAATCTGGCACTAACTCCACCAATAACGAAAGCACATAGAGAGCATATTCAGAATATATTTTCAGAATAACCGTCCATATGACACAGCTAGCTCTCACGTCTGACAAAATATCTTGTTGTCTTACCTTCTCTATCTTCTTGGAAATTTTAAGGAATAGGGGATCCATAGACTGTTGAAAGAGAAGCGGCAAGGTAGTGTCCAAGTACTGGCTCATACGACGATTGACCTGCAGCGATAAGGTAATAAGGATAATGATCAAATTGATCATAATGATAATAATAACAATAATAATGATATAATTGATAATGATGATAAAAATAACAAAACTATGACAGTTGATAATAATGATTCTGTTACTACTACTTATAATGCTATTACTATTACTAATGGTAAAGATGATAATAAAAATGATGATGATGATAATAATGATAGTAATAATAATAACCATAATGATAATGATTATTTTCATTACTATTATTGATATTATTACTATTATCATTATTACTCTTATTGTTATTATACAAGTAATAATGATAGCAATAACAATAATGATAATAAGGATTATGATACTGAAAATGTCAGTAATGAAAAATATAAAAACAATAATAAGGATAATTGTAATGATATCTGCAAAAATAATGATAATGATAATAATCCTAATAACAGTAACAACATTACTATTGTTAATAATTATATCAACAATAGCAATGAAGATAATGATAATATTAACAGAAATAATGATAGTAAAAATTAATGATAATAATGATGATAATAGTTGTTACTATCATAACAATAACAATGATGATAATAAAGACAATATTAATAACAAAAATAATAATAATTGTAATGATAATAGTAAATTTGATAGCAATAATAATGATGATGATAATGATGATGAAAATAATAATAAGAATGATATTAACAACAATAACAACAATTATGATAACGGTAATAATATTGGTGATGGTGGTGATGATGATGATGATGATGATGATGATAATGATAAAAATAATGACAATAATAATAATAATAATAATAATAATAATAATAATAATAATAATAATAATAATAATAATAATAATAATAATAATAATAATAATAATAAAAATAATAATAATAATGATTATTATTATTATTATTATTATTATTATTATTATATTATATTATTATTATTATATTATTATTATTATTATAATAGTAATAATACTAATAATAATATTAATAATAATAATAATGATGATGATGATAGATGATAATAATAATGATAATAGCAATGATAAGGATTATGAAATTATTGATAATAATTATAAGAACGATTACAATAATGATAATAGCAAAGATAATGATAACAATGATGATATGATAATAAAAAAGTATCAAGGATATTGGTAATAATAATAATGATAATGATGATAATAATAATAATATTGATAATAATAATAATGTTAATAATAATAATAATAATCATAATGGTGATAATGATAATAAGAAAGAATATTATCCTTACTATTATCATTATTATTGTTATCATCATAATAATTATTATTATTCATAGCATTATCATTGTCATTATCATAATTATCGTAAGTACATCATCACATCATCATCATTATTATATCTTCATCATCCTAATCATCGTTATCCTCCTTCTCATCATCATCATCATCTTTATCATCATCATCATCGTCATAATCATCATTATTGTTATAATCATTATTATCATTTTTACTATTATTATTACTATCATCATTATTAATATCAATATTACTATTGTTATCATTAATGTGCGAACATGTTCATAAAACAATTAAATAATAAAAGGTTGATACATAGGCCTACCTGTGCTGCAATCTCGGTTTCGGAGCCGAATTGTGCCGCTCCTTGCTGGTGTGACCTGGTTTCGTGACGTGACCCGTCTCCCGCCTCGACCTTGCTCTCCAGCGCTCCTAGCTTTGTAGCCATGCCCTGGGGACAAGAAAAAGAAATAGCAATTATTGTTATCCATACTATGAGTAGTTTTGATAGTAGAATCACTGGTATTATCATTATCATTGGTACTACTGGTAGGACTACCATTATTATAGTCATCATTATTATTATCCTTTTTATCAGTGGTAGTAGTCGCAGTAGTAGAATCACGGTTGTTATAGTCATCATTATTTACATCACTGTTATTGTAATTGTTATCATTATCATTATTGCTATTGTTGTTATTGGTATAATCATAATCAATTTCATTACTCTTATTATTAATATTATTATTATTATCATCATCATTATTATTATTAGTAGTAGTAGTACTTTTATCATCATTGTTATTGATATTGTTACCATTATTGTTATTGTTATTATTGTTACCACTAGCATTACTATTATTACAATTATTGTTATTATTATTATTATTATCATTACTATTATTATCATTGCTATTATCATAATTATCACTGCTCCTATTATTAGCAGTCGTAGTAGTAGTAGTAATTTAAATATCATCATTGTTATTATTGTTATTATCATTATCATTATCATTATTGTTTTTCATTATTATTATCACTATTACTATTATTATTATTTGCATTACTATTAACTGTATCGTCATTATTTTTAACTATTATTAATAATTTCATCATTATTATTGTTATCATTATTATCATTAGCATCATTATTAACATTGTTATTACCATTATTGTAACATACTATTATTACTATTATTTTCATATCTTAAAAATGTGTTCCCTAAAATGATGCACCTCTTTCAGGTTTGCATTCCTTAAATATTCATAGGCTCCAGTACATTAAACTCTTTAGCAATTAATGTGATCCCATTACCAATATTTCCAACCTGTAAACATTATTCATCATCATTCATGTGTATTTTATCTTTTTCTTTTTATTAGGAAGAGAAAGGAAAATATCTAAATCATACTTTGCCATACTGATAAAAAATAATGATAATAAAAGCTATAACAAAGAATCATCATCAAGGGGGCTGACGCCGCCGGGGGCGCATAGCCGCATCCACCCTTCGCTTCCACCTACGAGGATCCCTCATGGCTAGACGCCAGGCAGGGACTCGGCCCATCTCTAGTTCTTCACGGCAGGTTTGGTCGATCTGTCCAAGCCACGACTTCCTAGGTCGTCCCACAGGCCTCCTCCACCCAGGGTTGTCTCGAACAGAGACGACCTGATGGGCAGGATCATCCTGAGGAAAGCGAGCCAGGTGGCCGTATAGCCTGAGTTGGCGATCACGGATTGTGCAGATAACAGGTCCTGTGCCAGTCTCACGGTGCAACCGTTGGTTGGACACATGGTCCAGCCAACAGTACCCCATGATCCGGCGCAAGGACCTATTACAAAAGGCTTCAAGACGAGCCTCCAAGGCACAGGACAATGTCCAGGTTTCGCTACCGTATAGCAAAACTGGTATTATCAGGGCCTTGAAAACCCGTAGCTTGGTCCTTCTGCACAGGTACCGACATCTCCAAATACTCCTGTTGTGAGAGTTCATGACCCCTGCTGCCAGGCCAATCCGTCTGCTGACTTCATGGTCTGACAGCCCAGAGTTATGAACTACACTACCAAGGTATGTAAAGCTCTCTTTGACTTCAATGTCCTCGTCGCAAGCACGTACCGACTGAACAGGTTCTCCTAACAAGTCCCCAAATTCCTGGATCTTGGTCTTGGTCCAGGAGACCTCTAGACCCAAGGGTTTTGCTTCATTGCTAAATGCATCCAGAGCCGCCACTAGGGTTTCCAAAGACAGATAGAATGGCAACGTTATCAGCAAAGTCAAGGTCTGTAACCTTGATATTGCCTAGTGTTGCTCCACAATGAAAAGAGTTGGCGCAAGGACACAGCCTTGCCTCACTCCTGAACTAACAGGAAAGAAGCTCGACAGGCCCCCACCACACTTTACAGCACTTTCAGTACCAGTATACAGGCTTGCTATTAGTCCAATAATCCTTGTTGGAATTCCTCTCAGTCTCAGGATCTCCCAAAGTGACTCCCGATGCACCTGGTGCCTCAGT